ACCCAGGCACAGTCTCCACCTCCCCTGTGGGGGAAATAAGTGTAATAATTTTTACGTCCCGCCTGTTCCCAGAGAGTGGGACTCCGCCTGGGCTTCACTTGCGGCCCGTGGGGCTCCCCGCCTGACTCGCCTCCTCTTCCAGGGCTCCACACCCTGCAGTGGATGTACGGCTGTGAGCTGAGTGGGGATGGGAGCAAAGGAGGGTATATGCAGTTCGGCTACGACGGGAGCGACTACCTCAGCCTGGACAAGGAGCATCTCAGGTGGACGGCGGCCGATGCCAAAGCCCAGCTCACCAAGCGGAAGTGGGAGGCTGAACCCGCCGAGGGTCAGAGATGGAAGGCCTACCTGGAGGAGACCTGCATTGAGTGGCTGCGGAGATACCTGGAGTACGGCAAGGAGACCCTGCAGCAGAGGAGAGGTGTGTGGGGGGGACGGAGGTGTCTTGGGGGGCAGTTCTTCTCCCCTCCCCTGGTTCCTCATTGGACAGAAGAGCAGGAAGGGGGCAGGAGCATACCACTTCAGCCCGTACTGGGGGGAGTGGGAGTGCCGCTTCTCCCCCCTTTTAATTTTTTTAAAATACAGAAAAGAAAATAAATACAAAGGCAAACATCATAATATTAATAATATGACACAAAACAACCAACTAATGAATAAAAAAAGAAATACAACAGTGCCCCCACCACCCAGGAGACCAATAGTACCTCTATTTTACTTCACATTAATTATAGCAATAATTTAATTTATTTATTTATTTATTTGGAGTGCTTGTATGCCACCCCATTTGCAAGAGCCTTGGGGCAGCTTCCAACAAATAAATAACAATATACAGAAATATACAGAAATTGGAAACATCCTGGGAGAACATAAAAGCAATAAATCATTTAACAATCCATTAAAATAACATTTAAATAAAAAGATCTTGACCTGGCGCCAAAAATCCAATACTGACTGCGCCTGGCGGACCTCTCTGGGGAGCGCATTCCACAGATGGGGCGCCACCGCCGAGAAGGCCCTCCTCCGGGCACTCACCCACCTAAGTTCCTTCACGGAGGGCTCCCGGAGAAGGGCCTCTGCCGCCGATCTTAGAGGGCGGGAGGGCACGTATGGACGCAGGCGCTCCTTCAGATCCCCAGGTCCCAATAATATATAGTACAATTATGTCCATATCCCCTCCAAAAATTCACATAATCTTGATTAGGCTTACAACCTTTACCTTCTATCAATACTTTTACAAAATCTTTCCAAATTTCATTATATTTATTTGCTTTTATTAACCCTTCTTGATTTTTTATTTCTGTTGTCAGTTTGTCATTAATTATCATATTCCATATTTCATTATACCATTCATGCCTTTGCATAACCCAGTTCTGTTTCCAACATTTAACTATCACTAATCTAGCTGCCATTATTAAACTTAGGATCAGTTCTTAATTTCATTTATATCTTGTTTTTCAAACAACAGCAATAACACAACTCTCGGTGACATTTCTAAATCTGTGTCTAATATTTCTCTAATTTCATTAAATACTATAATCCATATATTTTGTATATTATCACAATCCCACCACATATGTTTATAAGTTCCAATCCCTTTCCCTTATCTCCAACATATATTATTTATCATCAATTTGATTTAACTTAACTGGTGATAAATATCATCTCCATATCACTTTATATCCATGTTCTTTAATTCTTATATACTCTTCTATTCCAAATATTCTTCCAATCCTTGTCTTCACCTACGTCCATTGGCCAAATTGATTTTAAACTTTTTGTCTGATCCCTAACTCTATTAATATCCTATAGATGTTGGCAATTCTTCCTTTACTTGTATATTCTTCCTCAACCTCGTATTCTTTCATAATCATTTCAAATGTTGTTAATTGTCTTTTTTCCTCTTTGAATTTATCCTCCATTTGTATCCATTTTTCTAATTGAATTAGATTTAACCAGTTTAATTTGGCCTCTGTCAATATAGTCCTTAATTGTGCTATAATTTTTATCTTATTTTTCCAGTCTTCCCATTTGTATATATGATTATTTTTAATTTATTAATCCAGTCCTTTGATTCTATTTTTGGAAATTTCTCCATTTCAACCACTGCTGTTAACGGAGAAATTCCTGGGATTAACTGTTGTCTCCATTTTTCCCATACTTCCATTGTACTTTTTTAAAGAGGGATTTTGTATTCTCTTAATAATCTTTTTAATATCCTTTTTAAACCAGTGTATCTCTAAGTGATCACCTATTTCCCTTAATTCTTTTAATTCAATATCACTCCATATTAGTTCTTTGCTTTGGGCTATAATTTCTGGAACTATCGTTAATTGGGTTGCAACCCAATACTTTTAACATCTGGAATACCCAGCCCTCCTTTTTTTGTGATTCATACCATAGTACTTTACTTATTCTTGCTCTCTTCCCTCCATTACAATAAACCTCCAATAATTTCTGCATTTCCTTTAATTGTTGATGATGAAACCTGATTGGAATAGTCCAAGACAAGAAATTGATCTTTGGCAGAATTTTCATTTGTGTTACTGCTATTCTTCCCAAACATAATTTCACCTTTTCATACTTTCCTATTATATCTTTTATATCCTTCTTTAACGTTTCATAATTTTTCTTCTTTAATTCTTGACTATCTTTTGGGATATCAATTCCTAACTTGCTAGTATTGTCTACCAATTTAATTTATATTTTTCCTTTAATATATCTAATTCTTCACTATTAGGATTATATAACATCATTTCAAATTTTTCCCAATTTACTTGCACCCCACTATATTTCCCAAATTCCTTTAAGTGTGAATATATTCTCTCTATAGTATTTATTGGATCTTGAAATGTCAACAATGTTCCATCTGCTCCGCTTTTGAATGCCTCCCCCAGATTTTCGCTTTCTCCATCCAGAGGTGTGGGGCTCCTCCGCACACACAGGGTCCAGAAGTGCAGAGGCCGCTCCTTCCCTCCAGGGACCCTCTGCCCCCCTCTGCCCCCCAGTGGTTGGGCAGGGCCATTGCAGGAGGGCGACCATGGGGCAGGTGCTGGGCATGTGTGGGGAGCCCCTCCCTGAACTGGTCAAACCAAATCCTCCCCCCTTTGGGACAGCCGGACCTCAACTAATTTCTCGGCTCAAATAACCCCCTTCCCCCGACTGTCCTGCATGCTTGGGAACTGGGCCCTTTCCTGCCCTCCAAGTAATTCCAGACACATCTGCCCTTTTGCACCACACGCCCCCCAAGGGGGGAAGAGAAATGGGGCAGGCGGGCTAAGGAATCCCCAAGCTGGGAGGAGCAGAAAAGCGTTTTCCACCAGTTCCTTCCTCGAAGCAAGAGAGGAAGTTTCTGCAAGTTAGTGATCCCTGCCAGCTCATTAAAAAGTTAACACTCCTGCTGAGTACATCTGAGCATGTGCAGAGTTTATTTACCATTTTGGAGGGACAACTGGGAAAGATGACTAAACGTAGAATGCTTTGGAACAACTGCCTCCTACAAAACGTACAGAAATCATTGGGCACATCGTGTTTTTTGGCTCTGACTTGCTGGCAGGCTCGTTGGCGGTGCTGAGATCACTTCTCCAGGAATCTCTGGCCAGGCGAGGCAGAGCAGCCATGCTAAAAGGGACATTTCAGCAGCATGGAACCTGAAAGCTCGTCTGAGGCACCAGGGCTGCGGTCCCGGCCCTCCCTCTGGGGAGCCAGCGTGCTGCTCCCGCCCGTCGATCGAGAGGGGGGGCCGGGCGGCTTCAGCCCCAGCGCGTGCAGGGTAGTTCCCGAAGCCCAAAGCAGGAATGGCTCCAGGCAGGGATTTGCCCTCACGCCCCAGCCTGCACATGCTCTGAATGTGTAAAATTAAAAAGTACGAGTGCCTGGGAAGCCCTTTCTTTAGAAGTTTCATTTCCTGGGCGTCCTGAAAGTGGGGAGCCCATCTCAGGAGAGTGTTGGGAGGGCCTGGATGGCCCCAGGGAATCCTGACCTGCTACACAGAGGCGGCCCATCCTGCCCGTCACTGGAGAGGTTCTGCCAGTGGTGGTAACTCCGAGTTTGCCCACTTTGCAGAGCCCCCTGTGGTGAAGGTGACTCGCCACGAGTCACCCATGGAGGACACGGAAACCCTCGTCTGCCGGGCCCACGGTTTCTACCCCAAGGAGATTGACGCTACCTGGACAAAAGATGGGCAGAGCTGGGAACACGAGACCTTCCGTAGACGTGTGGCCCCCAATCCTGACGGGACTTACTATGTCTGGCTCTGCATTGACATCGACCCCGAGGAGCGGGGCCGCTACCGGTGCCGTGTGGACCATGCTGGCCTGTCGCAGCCTCTGGTCTTGGCCTGGGAGGGGCCTGTGGGTGAGAGACGGCTGGGGGGGGGAGAAGGGGCAGGTTGGGCGCTGGAAGTTGTGTTTCCCCTGAGAGAGATGGGAGAATCCAAAAGGAGCCCCATGTGTGGTTTGGGGTGCAAAGCAAGGGATTGAAGTTAATGGGGAGGGAGGGTGTGATTCTTGGCAGGACAGCTGGAAGATTAGTCCCGGGAAGGAGCTGCTCTGTCTCTGGCTGAAGTCACGGCAAGGATGGGGCCAGTTCAGCCCTCGGATGCCCAAAGTTGGACCGTTGCAGGTGGCCGTGCGATGCCTTCTTTAATACAAGCCATGCAGGACTGAATAGCTAGACAAGTCTTGGGGGGGTAATATGTGGCCTGGGGGGACGTGGCCTTGCATGGTGCTGCTGCTGCCGCCGCCCCTGCACTGCGGAAACTTGGCAGAGTTGTGGCCAAAACGTGGGCAGTTTGCCACTGAAAGGAGGCAGCAAGCAGCTCAGAGCTTCTGAATGTCCGCTTTCCTCTCTGCAGGGGTTTGCTGCCGAATTTGGAACGCAAACCGCCATTGTGCTGTTCCTGGGGGGCGAGTGCTGCAGCGGGAGGGGGGCACGCAGGGTCTCTGCGTTCGGCTGGGACGGCTGCCGCTGCCCCAGACTGACGTGCGTTTGTCCCCTTTCAGGGAACGTGTGGATCATTGTAGGAGTCGTCGCAGGGGCTCTGGTTCTCCTGCTTGTTGTGGCCATCATCATCATCGTCATGAGTAAGTAAGCTGGGGCTGCCTTTGCTGGGCTGCATGTGGACATGCGTCACTCTGTTGGTGGCCCTCACTAAGAAACGGTGGATCGTGGCCCCTCCATGAGGGAGGCAGCCCCAAAAGGCGCCTCCCTGAAAGTAGCTTTAGGAGCAGGAGCAGGGAAAGACCTGAAGGAAGGCCGTGGGTCGCTGCCCCCTGCGCGGGAACGGCCTCCCGGTGTCCACCCATGTTGGAGAGGGAACCCCCAGGACAGCAGCGGCACCCCAAAGTCCACCAGCCACCACAGAGCACCCTGAATCAGGCTCCTTATTTTCTCACCTGGGGTAGTTGCCTGATAGTGATCCTGTGAAGGTACATTTAACTTTAGTGAGGTCTTGGGGATGCTTCTGAAGTTTAACAGCCTTTATATCTTTTTTACTACAATTTTAAGGGGCCCATTTCTTGCCTTGTGGGCTCTGGTTGTCCCTCTTCCACACTTCCAGGCAGCCCTTAGCATAACATTGCAAGTTCTCTGCATATTTGTTTTAGAAAAATCAGATTTAGAAAAATCAGTCTCCTGTATGTGGATCGATCGATCGATCTATATATAAAATTTGTATGCCGTCCCAATTACTAATGTCTCTTGCCTCAAATTGCTCCCGAAGTTGGTCAGGAGGGGACTTAGGAAGGATATGACTGGGGCCCTCTATGTTCCAAAAGGCTTGGATCATTGGGAAAGGCAGCGTTTCTCCAGGGTCTCTTCCAGCTCTAATTGTCGGATTCTTTCTTTGCAGAAAAACAACAAGCCGATAAAGGCTACAAGCCACAAAAATGTGAGTATTGTCTCTTGCCCTGAAGGTTCAAAATGCCCATTGAATAGAAATGTTAGATTCCCTGGAGAGAGAAAACGGAGGTGCCAGGCGTGTGCTTTTCCAGGCATCGCGGCTGCTTCCACACTCGGCCTTCCCCAGAACCCCTGTGCTCCAACGGATTCTGCATTTCAATCCTCCCGCACTTTCCCGGTGCTGCTGCCATTGGTATTACCTTCCCCTGCAGGACGTCCCTCTCGAGGGGGCAGCAGCGTGAGCCTGAGAGGCAGAGGCGCCCCCTGGACTCTCTTGCGTGTGTTTTGAGGGGTGCGGCTTTGGCCGGAGTTTCGTTTCAGCAGGCGGACCTGTCCCGGCTCTGCCTTCAGTCGCTGGGACCATTGGGTGGGGGGACCAGAATCACAACATCCTTCCCTGAAATAGGAAGCAGTCCTGGAAGCAGTGTTAAAATGCTCTAGTGGATGAAATGTTGGGGGGGGAAACAGAATGAAATACAGCCTGAATGAGGGAATGCTAAAGCACAGCTACTGTCGTGAGTTGGCTCCTTCCCTCTTTCCTTCTGGTAATCAAACTGAAGACACTCCTTTCAAGGGCAGGTATGTCCTGAAACCTCACAGATGCCAGAGCAGTGTTGATTCCTAAGAACCTTCAAAATTTTACGGGTCTGACTGAATTAAAGCAATTCCTTCCTTCAGCCTCCTGTCAATGGTGAGGGGGAAGCATCTGCCCCTGTGGAGAGCTGGATCCAACGGGAAACCTCCCCTTGGCCTCTCCCTTTTGGGGAAGCTTCTGCCTCCACCGTCAGTGTGGCTGTCACTGCTTGAGGGCAAGATGGCGCGAATGGCAAAGGCCCTCTTCCTGGACAGTCGGTTTCTCCCTTCGTCTCCCAGCTCGGTCAGGGACCAGTTCCCACCTCTGCCCCCCTTCCCATCCTGAAACCTCTTCCGCCCCTTCCCAAGCAGGCTGGTGCACACGCTCAGCCTGGGGAAATTCACTGGGCAACCCGGACCCCTGGAAGTCCTGCCCCCTCCCCTCGCTCCGCCGCCTTCTCCTCGGAATCAGACGATTCCCCTGAATGATCGGCGGTGAGCAAGTGACGGCCTCACTCGCTGCAGCAGCAGCACGGAATGAAATGCTTTCCAGTGCCTGCCATGGTGGAGGCATGTCTTTCCCCAGAATGAAGCACTTCCAGTCTGTGGGCGAATATAATCAGGGCACTTCCTTGCTATCGGAACAGACACGGAGCAGAGGAATTTGCGAGCCTTGACACGGTGAAGGTGTCAGGATTGTGACTGCTGAATGTGCACAGTGGGCAGCTTCACACCACACAACAAGCCTCGGGGGGTAAAATGGGCCCCTATACCTATTTTGGTCTCTTTGTGTATGGAGAGATCTGAGCACAGTTGCTCGTGCAAAGAATGAACTGCAACAGGGGCAAGATGGCAGCCGCACCAAGGCGCTGCTGGGCCCCTTGGAGGGGCATCTGGAGCTGCTCCAGTGAGTGGGGATTGCACAAGCTCACTGGACAACCAACTTTTGCTATCCCTGCCCCAACACACACACACACACAGATGGGGGAAATGCTGCAGCTTCGGTGACCCCATAGTGCCTTTGCCGGGAGCTGATCTTGGCAGAGGGCAGCAGGCATTGCCTCCTGTTTCATTTGGAGATCAGCTGGATGGGAAGATCTTGCAGGAAAATATATGGAGATGGGGGTCTGGAGCGACTGCATGAAGCGACCGAGAGAAATGCTGCAGGTGATCATGAGGAGGTGGCACTTGCCCAGTGGGAGAGCTGAAAGATGGGCTTCCAAGCCACAGAGTGAGTGAGTGGGGCTCAGAGGGTGCTGTGCACGAAGTAACAGCTCCCAAAATTGAGCAGCAGCTTCCAGACACATCAGGCCTGTCCACCCCTCATGACTTTTGGGAAGGCTGATGGGCCATGAGGGGAAAGCCTTGGACGCAAAGGCCTTTCGCAGCCCTTCAGGCCACGTCCAGGAGGACGCAAGAGGAGCCCTGCCGGATCAGGCCAGTGGTCCATCCCGCCCAGCCTCAGTCAGCCAATCGCCTGCCGGATCCCACAAGCAGGGCGGGAGGGTGACAGCACCCTCCCACCCATGTTCCCCGGCCACTGGGGTGCAGAGGAACATGGTTCCTGTCATCAGGACTAGCAGCCATGGAGACCTCCTCCTTCCGTCCCCTTGAAATCTGTCCAAATCATGTCCCCTCTCATGGAGGGGAATTCCCTGGCTCAGCCAAGCGCTGTGTGACGGAGTCCCTCACTCGGTCCGTCCTGCACCTCCCAGAAATCCGCTTCAAGGGGTCACCGCTTTGGTTCTCGTACCAGGGCACGTAATTCATCCTGGGCTGCTGTTTGCAGTGAATTGAGTTGCAGCAATTCGGACTGAAGCATGTGTCCCAATTTGAAGCGATGAGAAGAAAAGCTGCATGTGTGAATGGGGTGGGGGGCAGGGGAGGAAAGGGATTTGTGGGGTGGAAGGCCCCACTGCAAAACCCATGACAGCAAATCTCTTCCTTTGCTCCTTTTGCAGCACCCAGTGAGTCTTCGGAGGGCTCCGAGAAGAGTAAGGGTGCGTATGATGTGGGGAAAGGGGTTTGGACGTTCACCCCAAAGGCAGGAGATCTTCCAACAGGGAATGTGCCCAGATTTTGAAGGGCTTCCTCTTTCCCATGGCCCCACCTGGGGCTTTCCCAGACTCGCAGCCTGTGGGGCACATGTGAGTTTTGCCACCCATTTGCTCAGCACAACTGCGGTTTAATTTGGAAGGACCGGGATCGGTTCTTCCTCTGTCACCCTGAAGGACAAGGGTTGCCTGGGGTCCGTACAGGAGTCACATTTGGGGTACAGGGTGGGATTTTTCCCTTCACATCTTCTCACAAGCCTGCAGCTTGGCTCACTCGCTGCTTTCACAAGCATGCAGTTTGGCTCGCTTGCTTGATCCCTGATGCAAGCACCTTGTGGAGGCGCTCCTGCTCCCTCCTCCTAGTGCACAATTTGCCTGATACTTCAGGGCGGATGGCCTCATCCTTGTGGCTGGGCTAGAAGGCCTTTGGTCCCCTCCAGGCCTGTGGTTTTAATCCCTCCCCCAGTGGAGGGACCCATCGCAATGACTGAACCGCCACCCCTCTGTTGCTTTTCCTGCAGCACTGCTGGACAAGGCGTAAGAGCCCGGCCCAGTTTGCTCTACGCGAAGACCTCCTGCTGGCCCTGGTTTCTTACGGGGCCTTGTCCTGCCTGTCGCCCAGCAACTCTGTCTCCAACTCTGGCCTGGAATTGGGAAGGCCCGTTGTGTCTGTTGAGTTTGGCTTATTAGAATTTCCCATCCAGATTGTGCTTATTGATCTGAAATGTGCCAATCGTGTGCAGTGGAAGTGAGAACCACTGAATAAATTGAGATACTTAGTTCTGTTGCATTCCTTCCGGCAGCACCTTCCCTGTGGAACACTTTCCCAGGGGAAGTTAAACTGGCGGCTGCTTTCCAGTTTTTGGAAAAATATAAGTTTTGTCTTGTTCTGGGTGCCATTTCACTGCTTCCAATTCCTGGGGTTCCCTGTGGGGCATTTCAGGGATGGGGGGGGGCATTGAAATTCCCCATCCATCTGGGAGACTGCAAGCTCAGGAGGGGGATACCCTCTTTTAATCAATGATTCTGGCTATGCTTAGTTGCTGCTGCTTTGGTGGAGTTTATCATATGCATAAAGTTCCGGCTGGAACAGTCTCGAATATTTACTGAGGCAAATGTTCTTTTACTGAGGAAAATGTTCTGGATGGTAATGCAATCAGCACAAATAATGCCTTTTTTTCAATTCTATCAAGTTAAATATTAAGATGTCTTTTCCTCGCTTTGATTTTGTTTTTTTGCAAAGTTAGGGTTAAGGTTATGTAAAAGAAAAAAATGTTTCTCTTTTACATTTTTCTTTTTTCTGTATTCTGTTTCTTTTATGAAAAAATAAGAATTATTTCTTCTTTAAAAAGATTATAATTAAAACTTACTTGGCAGGAGGAGATAAGTCGGATGGGGATTTTTGTCTCACTCTGCACATGCTCAGCAGAAAACCCCGCAGCATCTCTCCTTGTGAGGTTGTGACAGTCCCCTCAAAAAAGAATTGGGCGGAGGGGGTTGGGAGGGGCAGTGTGGGTCCACTGGCTGCCCGGCCAGCTGGACGGGCTCTGGGGCTGTCGGCACCTCTGGGGGGGGGGGGGGGGACCTTTTGTTGAGGACGCGGCTGGTGACATGATGGCTGGTCCGAGGGAGCTAAAGACGGGCGGGAGAGGAAGGTCCCAGCCCAGGAGGAAGACTCCAGTGAAGTCAGAGAGTAGGGGGAGAGTGAGGCCAGGAAGTGGGGGAGAGAAGGAAGCTGCCTGGATATTTTCCAATGTTCTTATTTCAAGAGGGGTTTTTTTTGCCGGGGGGTAAAGAGCTTAATGAATGCTTCGACAGCAATCTAATTTTTATGTGTATTTTACTGGTATTTAGTAAATCAAAATGCTTTAAAAATGTGTTTGTGTTCTCTCCGAAAACACCACAAATATTCCTTGAAATATTTAAGGAAAAGTAGTGAAATCAACCAAAAGCACAATCCTTGGTAAATTTGGACTGAATCGACTGGGACATACTGGGAATTGTAGGCCTTTTTCTGTTTCCTTACAGTATAAATTTAAGGAGGGAAAGTCACTGAATCTGTTGACATGCTGGTGAATCTTAGCAACTGAGTAACGGCCTGGTGTGCTGACAGGAACTCCATTTCGAACACAGAAATGTCCCAATTACCATCTTTTCCCGTCTATAAGACGCCCCCATGTATAGGATGCCCCCACTTTTTCTGTCGATCTCCAGTGAGCAAGCTGCTGCCGTGCGCGCACGTCACTTTGCCCCCCCCCGCACGTGCCCCCCATGTATAAGACGTGCCTCCATTTTTAGCTAAATATTTTAAAGAAAAAGTAGCGTTTTATACATGGAAAAATATGGTACCTCGGCCTGTATTTGCAGTTGGCATCCATTCAAGTCTTCCCAATCACGTTATCAAATAGAGCAACAGAAAAATAAAGCCATAAAACCCCAAATATTTTTGTGTGGAAATTTTTCCACCCCACATCACTACCCCCATATCAGGGCTGGACTGGATGGACGCTGCTCTGCTCTGGCTGGGCTCTTCTCACAGGCCCACCTACCTGCTCCAGGCAGCCCCTTCCGGCTCCTGGGTCTCCTGGGCAAGTTTAGGAACTGATCTGGCACCACCCCAAAATGGCGCCCTGGTGGGGTGGCCAAGGACAAGCAAGCAACCTGCCCAGAGAACGAAGGAAAGGCAGAGGGGTGGTCTGAGCTCCCACCCACAAAATGGCTCCTTAGGACCTGCAGCTGGTAAGAAGATGTGTTATTCTTCTAAGAAAATGAAAACGGGGTGAGTCTGGGCTCCTTGGGAGCCACCAGGATGGGTGTCCTGGTGTGCCCCCAGCTGCCTGCCTCTGTGCTGGGGACAGTCTGCACAGAATGGCCCTTCCGCAGATGCACACCTCTTCTCCCTGCCAGCTGGATCTGTGGCGGAGACTGCCCCTTTCAGGCTGAAGTGCTGCGCCCTGGGAGAATATCTCAGCCGCAAGGGTGGCGTGGTGGCCCCTCTCCTCACACAGCAGCGGGAAACCTGGATTGGAAGGAAACGCCCTAAATCAACGCTGCCACACCTGCCTTGCCTTTCTGTTTTCTCCAGGGTAGGACTGTGGATAAGAAACGACACTGAGGCTCTTTTTGCTTGTGAGGTGTGACCTTTTTTTTTTAAAGTCAATCTCCTGCAGGAACATAGAACAAAATACTAACATTAGAAGAGACTGATAAGCCCCGGGGAGCCAACCTCTGCTCAATGCAGGACCTAAAGTTGGAACAACCTTCCCAGAAGGCCATCCAGCTGCCTCTTGGATGCCTCCTGTGCAGGAGAGCCCACCACCTCCCCAGGTCTTGGGTCCCATTGTGCTGCTCTGAACAGCCAGGAGATTATTCCTGATGTCCAGCCGGAATCTGGCTTCCTGTCACCGGAGCCTGTTATTCTGTGACCTGCACTCTGGGATGATCGAGTCTCTGGCTTTGTTTCCAGTCCCCGGATCCTTATTGCCCTCCTCTGAACCTTTCCCAGCTTCTCAGTGGCCTTCTTAAAGTGCAGTGTCCAGGACAGGACGCGGGACTTGAGATGAGGCAAGCCAGGGCTGAGTGGAGGGGAGCTCACAGTACTTGGAAGTGAACTTGCATCAATGCAGCCCAAACTTGCACTGCTTTTTTGCAGCCACATCCCATAGTTGATTCATATTCAGTTCCTGAGCTAGAAGAATCCCAGATCCTTCTCAGGGGTAGCCCTGTTGGGCCAAGAATCCCCCCTTTGATTTTTCCTAGGTGTAGAACATGGCACCTGTCCCTGCTAAATCTGTCCCTCTTGCTCTCAGCGCAGCATGCCTGATCAAAGCATCCATTTGTCCATGAATGGTCGGGATGTGAGAATGGGGTGGAATGGATGAATATTCTGAGAAATTCCCCAGGGACGTTGGTCAGTAGCCTTCTCTCTCTGAAATTGCCCCACTCGGAGCCCCCATTCATAAAAACATTTCTACTGTCTTGACTGCAAACTGTGACCAGGGCAGCGAGGGAGCGATCCGGCTTGGGCTAAGCTGCTTCCGGCACTCGGGGAGCAGAGTGGCCTCTCCTGCCCCGCAGACCCCTTTGGCCCTTTGTATAAATTCTGCCCTCTGCCCCAATCCCTTCCACATTGGAGTGTGTGTCTCTTCATAGAGAATCGAGACCAAACTTTGTTCTCAGCCTGGGCTCACAGCCCGCCGTTGCGTGATCTGCCCAGCAACCTGGAGCCATTTTAGTCCGGTTTCTGGATCCATTTCATTTTTAGATCCATCTCAGTCTGATTTTTGACCTGGTTTGGGAACAGAAACCATCTTGGCCTCCCTTTGCTGCCAGAAAGACCGGAGTGTGTTTCTCTTGGTTCTCCGGAACCCTTCGGCAGCTTTGGATACCACAGACTGTGCTGTCCTTCAGATAGGCTGGCCAAGGTGGGAGTGGGGGGCACTGCTCTGCGGTGGCTCTGCCCCTCCCTGGCTGGCTGACTCCCGACAGGGGCGCTGGGGGAATGCAGCTCTGCGCCATGGCAGTCCCGTCACGAGTGCTGCACGGCTCCATTTAATTCCCCACGCATTTCAAGATCTTCAGGATTTACATGAAACCACTGGGAGAGGTCCTCAGGAGGTTTGGGTGGAAGTGTCATCAGGATGCTGATGATACTCAACTCTACCCCTCCATGTTCTGTTGTGCGCCCAAAATGCAGAACAGGGGAAGGTTTTCTTTTAAAGGATGTATTCGTGTAAATCTTGAAGAACAGGGGAAGGTTTTCTTTTAAAGAATGTATTCTCGAGGGTAACTGGCTGCCAAGGGATCGTTCCAGATGGTGCACCTGAGTCAGCCCTTTCATTAGGTGATCATTAGAGGGCCACACTTTCCAAAAGGTTGCAGAAGCTAAACGTTACAGTGGCATGATCTTCCCCACTTGCCTGTGCTCCAAAGGAGTGGGGAGGACGGGCTGTTCATACGTGGAAGGGGTGGGGGACGGGGGTGTAGCTGTGGACTGCCCTTCGCTTGAGCTGCTGTGATCTGTCGAGGGACAACTGGCTCTCTCTGGACTGGGGCCTGGTCAGTGCCTGCTGCATTTCAAGGACGAATCAATTCATGCTGGTTTCCAGAAAAGAGGGTTTTCTCTGGCCTGGTTATGTGTCAGTGAGTGCAGGATTTAACCAATGAAAGATCTACCGATTCATCTGGACGTCACCTGGAACCCACCACACCGTCAAGAGGAAGCAAACCTTGAGAGAACGGACCCCGCTCAGATCTTCTGATACGAAGCATCGGCAAAGCAGCACCATGACCAGAGGAATAAGACTCAAGACACCTTCTTGGGTATCCAAGGGCAGCGGATGGTCCCGAGCCCAGAGGGCCCTTCTCCTGCAGGATGCGCCAAACCTCCGTGGGACGTCCCTGTGCCCCAGTTCCTTCTCGGCAGGGTCCTGTCAGCTGGAGGGCTGCCCTCAGTCTCACTGGGTTGCAGACCTGGATGGGGGGCAGCTACCCCAGGGCCCCCTTCTCCTGGGAGCCACTGCCCTCCTGCTGGGTGGCTGATTCAGTAGCTCCTGTGGGGGCTCAAGTGGGAGGACCTGCACCCAGCCAAGTAGACAGCTGGTTTTGCCTTTCCTGGACCAGCCCGGAAGTGGGGCCAGCCAGACCCCTTGGCAAACCCCTATCCCATTCCCCGGCTTGTGTGCTTAGCAAGCCATCTGTGGCAGGGAACACTTCGTCGTCTTCCTCTCACATGGTGCACAATGCTAGCACCCCCCCTCCCCAAATTGCATGGTTAACAAGTCAAGGAAGGGGATTCCACATTTCACCCGACGACATGATGCTGCTTCTCTGAATTCTAGGTTGACTCTGGGGACAAGGGTCCTGATGCCTTCCTGCTACTCCAAGCCTTTCCCTGAGCTTGGTTGCCTTTGCCCTGCATGGAGTGTGAACCCCCAAAGCTTTTTCTTTCTCATTCGGCAGAAATCCTATGCAGAAAGCAGCAACGCCAACCCCCTGCGGTTCCAGCTCTCTGCTGCATGTGTGGGTCGAGATGGGCTGGCCCTCGCCCCGGGTGGCGTGTGTGTTGCCTGCTCCACAGAGCCTTCCAGAGAGGCAGGTGTGCGGCACTCCCACAGGCGACCCCCACCTCCTTCTGGGCCAGTGCACCCCAAAAGGGCTCCCCTTTCCATGGCCCATGTGCCCCAGGTCAGGCTGCCGAGTCACAGGAAAGGCCTCTCACAACCCTGGCAGCCCCCACAGCTGACGGCCAGCTCGGTCCTCTTTCCCTGCCCGAGTGGTGACCGGCCTCGTTTAGAAATGCTGCCCCTCCAAGACGCAGATTCCCCCAAAGGAACGCGCCCCACACACCCCTCTTGGCACACGGCGAGCAAGACTAATCCTTTGCTGGAGCCTTTAGCACAGAGTAAAGGCACAGATTCAAAGGCTGAAGCTGATGTAGGGACTGAGCTTCGCCTGCCATGCACTGCGCAGAGGGGCCCCTCCCTTTCCGGGGCAGAGGGCCATGGAAGCGGCCCAAGGGGAGCGCAGCTCGTCCCCTCGCATCCACTTGTGAGGACTTCTCACCTATCCGGACAGACTGGGGGAAAGCCTGGCGCAGTGGTGACGAGCGCGGGGCTGGGACTCGGGCGACCCGGGTTCTAGTCCCCGCCCAGCCATGGAGCCACTCCCAGCCTCTCTGCCCAGCCTACCTTGCAGGGTTGCTGTTGTGGGGATAAGATTGAGAGCAGCAGGAGGAGAATAATGTAAGCTGCTTT